TATACGCAGATGACAGAAAGCTAATCAAAGTTATAAAAAATATTGAAGATGACAAGTCTTTGCAGAATGACATCAATGAGTTTGTAAAATGGGTGGATATCTGGTTGACCAAGTTGAATGTTGAAAAGTGAAAAGTGATGCATGTAGGTAAAATGAATCCATAAATGAGTTGTAGTATGACCGATAACAGCAAAGAGCATACATTAGATACAACAGTAAGTGAAAGAGATTTAGGCATGATTATTTCATCTGACCTTAAATGGAATGATCAAGTGGCACAAATGTTGTATATAGTGTGAAATCACACTATATATAACATTTTTGACCATTTCTTGAGCTCGCTATACCTGCATGGAAGCCTTATTTACAATGAAATATTGATGAGTTAGAGAAAGTGCAAAGAAAAGCAGTGAAGTTAGTCCCACAACTTAAAAAGATTTCATTTCTTCACCAACCATGGTTTTTATAATTGAAAGATCGTTAAATGTTTTCAAGCAGGAATAGATAAATTAATTAAACGTTTTAAAGCAGGAATAGATGAATATTTTTGATAATTTGTGTTTTTAACTTTAAATTGTAAGCTGTCTAAAACATGCATTGTGTTCCACAAATTATTTTATTTTAAAATATTTTATTATATTAAAAAAATAATAATAATTGTTACAGCAATAAATATTACTATTACTATTGTCAGACAATTTTTGCATCAGTTTCTTACAATAATAAAAATATATTTGTCCTTAAAAGAATTGTTCTTGTGAAATAAATAAAAGAAATAATTGCAAATGAAAAGAGCAGCTTGCCAAGATAAAGGAAAAAAGATTTAAGATAATAAAAATGGAGTTAAATATGGTTTGAAATTGAGGAGGGGTAGTAGAAATTCCATATTTGTCTAAATTCAAAAGATTTTGTAGGAGGCATATTTTAGTTGTGGTAATGGTTTTATTATGTTTTATATTTGTTTTGGTATTTTAGTCATATTTTAAATTCTTATTGGGAACTTGACTCTCTTGCTACATGACACATTATGCAATAATCTATACAGTTGCCTCATCTTTGTTACTTAAAGTTTTAACAGTGTGAAAGTTGTTTTAATGTTTGCATGTTATTTTGATATTTGCATGTTGTATTAATGTTTGCAAGTTGTTTTGATGCTTGCATGTTGTTTTGATATTTGCAGGTTGTTTTGATGTTTGCATTGGTAACCCATTGCTGCTCTAAACTGATAAGTATAAGTACTTTTACAAGTATATATATATATATATATATATATATATATATATATATATATATATATATATGCATCATGTATATACTGAATGCATCATATACTTTTATAGGTTTCAATTGTCAGATTAATACTCACTGCTTTGATTTTTTAAGAGGTTTTAAGTTCAACATGTTTCAAAAGACAAAAACACTTTGGGTGTGCATGTGAAGTGTATTCATTGAAAATAAAATAAAAAGTGTTCTATTTTGGGATTTATACGCTTTTTAAAATAATCACTTTGTAGAAGAAGTTTAAACTCAGTGGCAGATCCAGCCTATTTTGGTGTTCTTTATACTAGCTTTCAAACATAAGGTAAACTCCAAACATTTATATGTTTATACTTGCGTTAAAATAGGCAAGTTTTGTAAAAATATTGGAGTGATTAGAGCCTAGGAACAAAAAAATTTTTTTTTCCAAGTATAAGCACACAAATGTTTAGAGTGTACTCTATGTTTAGAAGTTAGAATCTAAAACACCAAAAAAGGCTGGATCCGCCACTGACTTGAAATTTCTTCTGCAAAGTGACTATTTAAAAAAGTGTATAAATCCCAAAAAGAAATGCTTTTTATTTTGTTTTCAATGGAATACATCTCATGCACACCCAAAGTATTGTTATCTTTTGCTCACCCAAAGTATTGTTATCTTACGCACAACCAAAGTATTGTTATCTTTTGTAACATCTTGAGTACCTTTTAGGTCAACTAAAAACCTCTAAATTAGTGTACTTACAGAAGGTATAAAAAAAAAATCATAAATAAATATTTATCAATGAAAAGTCTAGACAACAATTAACAATCACCACCACAAAAGTCTTTGTAACTACTTTGTAATTTTAAACCACATTAAACAAATTTGAAATTATATTCACTTTCACCAAAAAAACTCCAAGCACGATTTTTGTTACGGCAAGGTTTTTTAATTGTTTTAATTTTAAATTTTAAATCGTAAAAGAATGAAAATTGCTTTTTAACTAAGCATTTATATTCTGTGTTTTTGACTAATCATTTATATTCCATGTTTTAACTGTTTTATGTTTCTAAAATTTTTGAACTTTAATTTTAGTTTTTTAATTATTTTTTATCTTTACTATTTTTTTTATTTAACTTTTTTGATTTTATTGACTTTAATTTTACAAAAATATAATTGTTTGATTTTACAATTTCTGTTATTCTTTTTTATATTTGCAGAAAGCAAACAAAATTCAGTTTCACTTATTCAAGTACAGTTTAAAAAAATAAGTTTCTATATTATATAAATCTTTCCAATAAAGAAATACAATTTAGAATATTAACAGTATACATTGTTCATAAAAGTAATAATAATGATAATAATAATGACACATTTATTATTTTTTCAAAAAAAAATTATGAATAAAATTTTTTTGCTTTAGATTTTAAAATGGAATCATTTTGCAGTGCATCTGACTCTGAATTATTAGAAGAATATTTAAAGAAAGTTCAAACTGAATTGGTTGTAAATAATGATCAAAATCACATAGTCACTAAAAAGAATCTTTATGAACAAGGAAATATAAACATTCAAACAGACTTCCAAGTTAATGGATCAGATAGTGTTTCAGAAAATTTAGATATAAAAAAAAATATTGAAGTAATGTTAAAAATTTTAGCAGAGTTTAAATTTTTAAAAGAAAAGTATTCACAACTTGAAAATCATGTTCAGCTTAAAGTACAGGATTTTCAATTGAAAACATTAGAATATGAAGAAACTATACAAAGAATAAAAACAGAAAACATAAGGTTTGCATCAAGGTTTTCTTTTTCTAACACAACTATATATATATATATATATATATATATATATATATATATATATATATATATATATATATATATATATATATATATATATATATATATATATATATATATGCAGGCCTTGCGATAAAGTGTCGGGCGATGTGAATTTTACATCGTCCAAGAGCGATTTTGCGTGTAGCTAAGGCTATTTACGTCAAGCAAAAAAATTTTTTGTTTGAGTATATTTAAAGATATTTTTGAGCGGAATTTTAATGAAGTAATTTAAGATTATTTTAACATTTAATAAAGTATTTTAAAAACCGCACGCAGTTGACATAAAAGTTTGAATTACAAAAAAATTAAATATGCTCATTATTTACAAGTAGAAAAAATTGAGATTAAAAAAAAAGTTTAAATCTTTTTAAGCTAACATTTTAATAAAAATATTCAGCAATAGCAAAGTTGTCGATAAAATTGAACAAAAATACTTTCTTTTAGTTTTAGATTTTGAAATTAAATAATTATTTTACGGGGGTTTGTTAGGTTTTAAAATTATTCTATAGATTTAAAAATATTTATTAACTGTTTGACGTATTTAAAGTATTTAAGAGTAATTTCGAGGAAACATTTTAAAAATTGGTAAGTGCAAATAAAAATATTTTATTTGCGCAAAGATTTTATTCTAACATTTTATTTTACTAGAAATAAAATTCCTTGTAAACATTAAAAATCTATTCAAAACGTTCGTTAAAATTTTTAATAATACGAGTGATTGTGCTTATCAACTGCTTTATGAAAATAAATAAAAATAAATAAATAAAAAAATATTATATAAAATTGCTGGTAAAAATATTAGCTATTGCACAGTTTTTAATCGTAAAATATTAAAATTTCCAGTTTATTACTCGCTGACTTTTTAAAAAGAAAAAATTATTTGAAAAACTTTAAATTACATATTTGAGAAAAAAAAAATCAAATATTAGCATTTATTATCTTTTTTAAATGTTTAGTTATAATTTTTTTTATTCATTTCAAGCGTCGAGAAAATAAACACATGTTTTTACATTTTAAAAAACGAAACATTCCAAAACATTTTTAAATAATAACTAATAATAATAATTTCTACATTAATGATTTAAAGTAGTTTTGCGGTAATTAAGTAAATTGGTGCAGTTAATGTTGATAAATATGAAAAGCAAATAAAAAGAATTTAATGACGTCAAAAATCACGTCGTGCTTATGCGTTGCACAGTTTTTATTCATCACAAGGCCTGTATATGTATATATGTATATATGTATATATATATATATATATATATATATATATATATATATATATATATATATATATATATATATACAGTGCTTTTTTTCTCTTAGAACGCACCGGAAAGGCGTTCCTGCACCTTTTTTTTTATTTACATAAACATTATATTTGGGGGTGGGGTGGGGGGCAGTGCTGGATTAAGGGGCCCCGAAATAGTTTTAAGGACCTTTTTTTTATTATTTTATTAAAATTATTTGAAAAATTATTGGAGGAGGACAAATGCCCCTGCTGACCTTACAGTTGCTACGGGCCTGAGATATGAAAACATTAGAGCGCAGCGTTATTTATTAAAGGGATCCCTAAGTGCTATAAAGATATGATCTCATATGAAAGAGCATTAAAAAAAAAATGTTTGATGTATATTATTTTTTCTAAAACGTAATAATGAACACACACTAACAAATTTAATTTTCAAAAAAACGCTTTTCTTCGATTAAAAAAAATGCGTCTTGTCCAAAGTTTATTGACTCTACTGCCTCAAAAAACTAACGTTAGTACGTCAAATTAAACAAAGTAGACAAAATGTCATTATTGCAATCTTATTAGTTGGTAATTAAATTTAAAAGTAAAGTCGTTTTTTTTCAACTAACACATAATTACTTACAAGAATAAGTTTTGTAGCATTTTGTGAAAATATATTTGTATATTAAAATTTTTTTTATAATATTAATTTATATATTTGTGTTATAAGGGCAATTCCACGGCTAAAAATGAATAGAAGTCAAATTTTCAACTCTTTTTAGTCAGTTAAAAACAAATGAATATTTACTTAGACATATGAAAGTTTATTTAAAATATTTCCTTAGTAAAAAAATAAATTTATTTCAGTAATTTTTATGGTTTCAAAAGTGACGGTTACTCTCATTTTTGCTTGATAAAAAAAATAATGATTGCAAAATGTTTTAGTTAAATTAACATTTATGTTAAATTGCTATATTTTTTTGGTTCAAATTGATAAGGTTGAATAGACATTTTATTAGAAATTAATCTAAGACAAGGCTCGAATTAATGCAAAAAAATCTAATCGCGAAAAAAATTTTTTTTTTTTTTGCTCTCTCCCCCTCCCCCCCCCCTCTCTCTTATAGCTTGCGCCGATGTGCGGTAATGGGGGGAAAAAGTTATCGTCAATAAATCAAAAAACATTGTCAAAAACTTAGATACCACGTTTTTTATAATTTATTGTTTCTTGAATAAAGGACTAATAAAAGTTTAAATATAATTAAGTTTTTCATTTAAATGGTTGATGTTTTTATTCAATTTTTCTATTTCAAGTTTTCCAATAAAAGATAAAACAAAAAAATTTGGTTTAATAAATCGAATTATACTTCATGTTTAAAATAAGGCTTAAAAACGTTATAGTAAAAAAATTGCTGGTTTTTATTAGCATATGTTTATATTAGCATACTGTTTGAAAAAAAAAACTAATAAAAAAGAATTAACTAATAATATATTAATTAATAATTATATATTAATTCTTTTTTATTAGTTTTTTTTTTTCAAACAGTATAAAAATGCAAATAAAAGTCAGTAATTTTTTTTGCTTTAACGTTTTTAAGCCTTATTTTAAACATGAAGTTTTGATAAACAAAGATAAAAACCAACTTTTCAACTTTTCGCTTTGACGACCTTGTAAAAATTTTCCACGCAGAGATTTAAAGTAATTTAAATTCAAAAATGAATTACGTTGAAAGAAAATCTCCGCGCGAAAGAGCAAATCATCTATTCATCTATCTATTCAGAATAATAAATTTTGTGTGACGTTCTTTATGATAAAAACATTACTTTCAAGAATTGCTAAAAAAATGCTAAGCTAGAAAAAAAGTAATTAATCAACCAAAAAAAAAATGAGTCGCGAAAAGATTTTTTTAAAGAAAAAATTAATCACAAAAGTGTGTGTAGCAATCGCGATCGCGATTAATACGAGCCCTGTAAGACTTTTTTATAAGTTCTAAACTATTTAAAACTATTACTTATAACTTTTTTTTAACGACGTCTTTCAACCGAATGCTATTATACTGTTTTTGCAAAACTAATTAAAAAATTTGATTAAAACTTAACTATTTAATCACGACTTTTTTTTACTTGAAAATCGAAGTAGATATTCTAAAGTTGTTGTGACGTACTAACGTGATTTTTAACGACTAGCAATCGAGTTTCAATGGTGAAAAAATAAAATCAAAATGGAGTTGTTTTTTAGTGATTTCGGCAATTGCTTTTTGTTAGCATGCATTTATTATTACAATTTAGTGAAAAAGAAAAAAAACTTACATATTTTTTTTTTATGCTCTTTCATATGAGATCATATGTTAGGAGCACTTAGGGATCCCTTTAAAAATCTGTCAATTAGTAAAAACTAAATCTGCTTGAGAAGTTTTTACTTTGACTTGATTTCTTGTTTATTTTGTTCGTTTTTATGATGCCAAATTATTTTTTGTCTGAGTTTTCCACAATGATTTTCGTTTTAAAGAAACAAAAATGGTTTATGATGCCAAATTATTTTTTGTCTCATAATGCCTTATAACGATTTTTTAGAACACTAACTTTATGCTATTTTTTTTTTTTTTTTTTTTTCATCTTCGCTTCCAACAAGGCTGCAAGCAACCACTAATTAGTGTTGGAAGTTACTGGAAGAGAAAAGATGAAGATTGTAGAGCAAGATAACGATTGACAGACGACTTAAAAGATTGCAAATTATATGAATCAGGAAAGCAAGATGAAGGAAGCGAATTCCAAAGAACTGATGTTCGAGGAAAAAAAACTAGACGAATAAGAGTTTTTGGAGCACTTAGGAACAGTAACAGAAAAAGGATGAGACTTAATTAAATGACGAGTAACACGAGAATGAATTTTAGTAGATGGCACAAGAGACGCTAGCTCTTTAGAGCAGTGCCCATTATAGTATTTGTAGAAAAGAGAAAGAGAAGCAACATTACGACAATGTGACAGAGGTTGAAGGTTGGCTGCAAAAGCAGGTCCAACTATGTTTACAATGCGTTTTTGCACCTTGTCTAAAAGAGAAAGGGCATCATTAGAAGATCCGCCCCAGATATGGCAACAGTATTCCATACAAGGACGGATTTGAGATTTACAGAGATAGAGAATAGAATTCAGAGTAAGAAAGTGATGAGCTCGATAAAGAAAAGCGACTTTAGCAGATGCTAATTTTGCAACGGATTTGATATAAGGTTTCCAAGAAAGATCATTTGTGACAGTAATATAAAAATATCAATTAAACAAAATAACACAATATAAAAATATTTCTGGCTCTTCAATAAATGTATAATAATTTCCCTTGCATGAATGAATTTTGGTTTAGGATATAATTGTGTTATTACATGTTTGTTTTTCTATATTTAATATAACATTCAGCATTTTTATACATTTTTATTTAAGTATAATTTTTCTAAATATGAATAAAACTATCAAGTTTCTTCTCCGGTTCAGAAAAAAAAAAAGAAGTGCAAAAGAAACACAAGAAATTAAAATTACAACGCCAGATTTACCTATCGGCAGACCAAGGAATTACCTATTGGCAGACCAAGTTAAATTACTACGTTAGATTTACCTATTGGTAGACCAGACAATACACCAACTATAGTTGGCCAAGTTGCTGGACATTATAGCAAAAAACTTTTGTTCTAAATACAAGTTGCTTTGTTTGTCACAAAGCTTG